CCTGCCGCACGGCTCGCGGGTCGGGCAGCCGGGCAACAGATGCTCCCGGCGCAGGCTGTGTGCCCAGCTCTGCGCTGGCGCAGGGGTCGCCAGGCCGTCCTCTCGACGCACGCCCAGGCCGGGCGTGCGGGCTTCGGCGGGAGGCTGGGGGCCGACAGGGGAATAAAGGACGGTGGTGCACGCCTAAAAGGACGAGGTGAGGGCCGCTCAAGGAGGGTCCTCCTGCTGTCCTCGTCGCCAGGGGCCCACGTCCCACTGCTCTGTCATCACCTTGTTGCCCTCTGCCGGGATAACCTCGCCCCCCTCCACGGAGTCAATACCGAGGGCTCCTTGTCTCCAAACATCACTTCCCCTCCAAGCAGGGTCCCTTCCAGGGCTGGTGGTGGCCTTGGCGGTTAGGGATCCAGATATGGTCCACAGGGCCCAGCCCCTACAATGACTGGGCTGTCTTCTCTCCCCTGGCTCCTCTGGCAAATCTGCCTGGGGCCTTGGGCTGGGAGCTGGGAGGGCAGCCCCCTGCCTAGAGCTGGTCACAGCCACAATTTGTGGGGGCAGGAGGAGGGGGCGCATGGAAGGCTTCCTGGAGGAAGACAGCTTTGAAAGAGGCCAGGTTCAGGGGCTGGGGGCAGAGCAGAACCAACTCAGGGCACGACACTGCCCTCTCTCACTAGGATGTGCTGGTGGGGCTGCCCAAGGGGTCCAATGCCCAGGGAATACCACCCCCTACTGGGTTCAGTGCCCACCCCTGTTGAGCAGCCCCTTCCAGGATCCAGGCCTGCAGGAGCAGCTGGGGGCCCCTAAAGGGATGGGCCTGGGTCTGCTCACTCTGAGCGCCTGTCCCTACCTGAGCCCCTTGGTAGGCTGGGAGGGGGGCAGGACACAAGCCAGGCACCGCCACACACAGCGACCCCCGCCAAATAAGGGAATGCATGCTGTGTTCAGAGCCTTGCAGCCGCTTTCCTCCTGCGGGTGGGCAGCAGTTACTGCCTGCGGGGGCTGGGGGCTCTCTGTGGAGACGTCTCCTTCTCTTTGTTCTGGCCCAGGGGCAGGTACCCAGTACTGAAGGCCCCAGGAGGGGCGAGGAGCCCCCCTCCCGGTTCTAGGGTTCCAGGGCTCCATCCCTGCCTGCCCCTGCCCATGCCCACTGCCCCACTACCCAGGAAGGCCCTGGGCCAAGTGGTGAACAAGGCAGACACGGCCCCTGCCCACCCTCAGGGGGCTCAGGGACTGAGAACTTAGACAAAGATGCAGAACAACAAACTGTAAAGGTGAGGCAGACGGACAAGTCAGGGAGGGGGCCTGCTAAGACCCAGATGGCAGGCAAAAGGCAGCTGGGTGAGGGGCCGGCCCATGGCGTAGCGGTTAAGCGCATGTGCTCTGCTGCTGGCGGCTCGGGTTCAGATCCCGGGCGTGCACCAACGCACCGCTTGTCAGGCCATGCTGTGGCGGCATCCCACATAAAGTGGAGGAAGATCGGCACAGATGTTAGCTCAGGGCCAGTCTTCCTCAGCCAAAAGAGGAAGACTGGCAGATGTTAGCTCAGGGCTGATCTTCCTCACAAAAAAAAGTCAGCTGGGTGAGGAGCTGGGAACAGCACATGCAAAGGCCCTGGGGCTGTGGGAGCCTCTCCCCAGTGAGAGCCTGTGAGAAGGACACAATGAGGGGCATAGGTGAGGCTGGTGGTGATGGTGAGTGCCAGGCTGCCCTGGGCCTCCCCGACTAGACTGGAGTCTTCCTGCTAAGACCAACGGGAAGTCACACCAAGCAGCTGAGCTGGGCTGGGCTGCAGGATTGCGGGGGGAGGGGCAGCAGGGAGCGAGGTCGGGGCACCGAGGCCATAAGTGGCCCCTGCCATCGTGCAAGTGAGAGGGGCCGGTGGCCAGGCCACGGCCTGGCAGCGGAGGGGCTGAGGAGGGGGGAATTCCAGTGTATGTAAGAGGCGGAATCCGGAGAACAATCCCCCCATGGGCCCCTCCCCCGTCCACCTCTGAAGCTTCCTGCTCGAGGCCAGCTGTGGACTGTGGGAGGAAAGGACCGCCTAGGCTAGCTCAGAGGCAGCATGGCTGATGGTGGGGCTTTCTGTGTGGCCGTTCCAGAAACTGCAGCATTTCGGCAGAGGCTCTTTCCCCGCTCAGAGCACCAGTGAGAGATGCTCACTCCATCTCAAGATTCAAGCTTAACCTGCTGGGGGATGCAGCCTCCCTGGGGCCCTTCCTGCTGGCCAGCCCTGCCTCCAGGACACAGAGGCCCCGCCTGCCCTGCAGAGCTGAGGAGACAGTGGCCTGGCCCCATCTGCCTCCCTCTAGGTCCTTTGGGAGTGGGTTCTGGCTCCCCTGGGCCCAGGGCAGCTGGGTGAGCATCAGGGCAGTACCAGGAGGTCGGCAGGCCCAGGAAGCCTGTTTGTGGGGCAGGCTCCCTCTCTCCCTGTGCATGGTGCCACCCTGCAGGGCAGAGTAGCCCCCTCCCACTCACGGTCCCCTGCTGCCTCCTGGGAGCCACAGCTTGGACCTAAGGGTGCCCAGGAGAGGTTTAAGTCAGGAAGGTGGCCGCTTCGGGGAAGGGGTGGGCGTTGGAGGCTGCTGAGAGAGGGGGCCTCCTCCCTCCTGGGGTCTCCCTCTGCAGGGATTTCTGCAGCCCTGGATCCCCCCACCCAGCACCCAGTGGGGGCCAGGGGGGCCAGGGCTCCTGCCTCCACCCTTGCCGGACCAGGCTGCCCTGCCTCCTCCAGGAAGGCCCCCATCACTGTTCTGGGGCCCACTGGACCCCTCAGCCTCCCAGCTCCACCTGCCCCCTAGCCTGGGGGCTCTCTCGGGCACGCTCTGAGGTGGGTGCTCAACTCATGCTGGACAAGGCATGGACAGGGTGGGGGCCGCTCGGCCTGGCCAAGGGGCTTCAGGACCAGGCTGGGGCGCAGGCTGCCCAGGGTTTGGACAGAGCCAGCTGGGCTCAAGAGTGAGCTGTGCTTCCGCCCGTGTTCTGCGGTGCTAAATATAGCAGCCAGGGAGGGGAGTTTCCGGTTACAGCCCCCTCTCCAGTGCCGGGAAATCGATGCCAGCTCCATTAGGCCCAGCAGCCATGCCTGCTGAGCTGCCCCATCGGGCTGCAGAGCAGAGTGAGGGGCTGGACTGCACCCAAGTCCAGGGACCCTGTCCTCCACCCCACCCCGCCAGTCTGGAGCCCAGCACGCTCCCCAGGGCACAGAGAGCCACCGGCCCCACCCAGTACGCAGGAGCGGTCACTCAGAGACAGTGGGCAGCACCTGCAGGCGGGCCCAGAGGGCCAGGGGAGCTCTAGAGGTGGGCATCAGGAAGCTGCAAGGGAGGGAGGAAGAGGGGCAGCGCAGCTGGGCAGAGCTCTTGCCCTGGGACTCGCTCTCCAGATGCACTGGGGCTGGGGCCTCCTCTGGACAGGGTGGAGCTGGGCTGCTCAGTACCCACTGCAGCCCAGCCCTGTGGCCCCGTGGACATACACTGCATGCCCGAGGGCCCTCCCCAGCAGCATGTCACTCACCTGGCTGGGCTCCCAGAAGGCCCCACCTGGGCGGCCCCATCTGGGTCCCAGCTGGCATTTGCATACAGGTGGTGCTGATGGAGTGGGCCCCTTGGGCACAGCCTCCTCAGGGCGGCTTCAAATGCCAGGCCCAGAGGCTGTCTGCACTACTGCTCCCAGCGGGGCTCAGCCACGAGCACTCCCCCAGGCCAGCAGGGAAGGGGGACCTGGGTGCCCCTTCATGCATGCTCACAAAAGTGCCTGCCTGCCTGCCTGGGGTCAGCATGGGTTCAGCCTGGGGCAGGGCAGGGGGAGCACAGGAGGACAAGTGGACCTCAGCCCAGGTGAGGTGCCCCCCACCCGACAATGGGGTGTCAGCAGGAGCCTGAGGCAGCGTGTCCTGCCTGGGGTCCTCCACCATTCCAGCCCAGGGCCCAGTCCAAGGGGACACCAGGGCACAGAGCACAGGTCAGGTTCACAGCAAAGCTCCTGCTTATTCCGGCCCCCGTCTCCACCTGCCTGTGGGGAAAGCCTTCCCTGGCCACCTCGCCCTCCACAGGGTCAGTGGGCCATGACCCAGGCTGCCCCCGACCCGTCCCCCAGGGCATCAACCAAGGGCTGACCAGAGGCTTTGGGGGACCAGCTCACCACCCTCAGAAAGGGTCAAGCCAGCTCTCCCTCAAGGAAGCTTCCCTGGCCCCCATCCCCCACTGACGGCCCAGCAGTGCCTGAAAAAGCCCACGACCATAGTGACTGGCATGCGCTCCGCATGGTGGGCTCCAGCCACCCGTCATGTACGGAGGCCATACTGGGTGCCTGGCTGAGCGGGCAGCGAGCCCTCCTGGGACCCCAAGTACTCGAGGGTCACGGAGGGCAGCTCACACAGTCGCTGACTCTCAGGACAGGCCAGTGTGCAGGGCACGGGTCCTCCGGGGTTTGTAGGCCACATCACACACAGGCCGGCAGACGGAGTGATGCCTCTCACGGCCCACGGGACATAAGCAGCAACTAGGAGCACCAAACCCAGGGCAGCTCTGGCTCTGGGCTCCTGGAGCAGTGCTCCAGTGCCACCGCACTCAGCACAGGGCCCCACACCTGCTCCAGGAGCAGGAGGCGTGTGCCCTCCAAATGCAGCCCGCAGTTCTGTGTGCCCCTCCTCCTCCTAAATTCTGGCTGCCTCAGCCCGCGGCCCGGTGCCCAGTGGGCCCAGCCTCAGACCTGCTGTGCTGCCCTCCCTGAGCACTTGGCCTGGCCTAGCCCCCGTCCCCACCTCTCCTGCCCCAAGAGGCGGCACAGCCTGGCACCATCCTCCCTGCCTCTCCCTCAGCCCCACCGAGGCCTGTGGCACTCCCCGATGCCTGCTTAGCCCCCTGCACCGCCTGCAGCCCGAGGCTTCTGCTCTAGCGGAACTGCCAGCTCTGATGGAGAGCCCCACTCCCTGCCCCTACCCCAGCCCCCCCCAACCGCCCCTGCTTTCCCATCGTCACAGCTCAGGGCCAGTGGACACAGGCTGGAGGGACACAAGCCTTTATTCGGTCTGCAGGGCGAGTGGTCAGGACCAGCCTCTGTCCAGGCACCCTGGAGTCTCACTGGGGACTCAGGCCAGGGGCCACGCAGCTGAGGAACCACGAGATACCAAAGATGACACCAAGGGTCTTGGGGACATCCGGGTCGTAGGCAAAGGCCTGAGCGCCATCCAGGGGCAGGTGCACGACCTCAATGAGCTCACCCTCCTCGGCCAGGCCCCCGCCTGGGCCGCCCCGCTGGGCGTCTGTCACCTCTGCATAGAACATGGTCTGGCTGGAGCCGGTCAGTCCCACGCCAGACCTACGGGGCAAGACAGAGTGTGCTGAGCCACCTACACGGGCCCCGCCAGCCACCCCTGCCCCTTCCACAGCCCTCTTCACCCTGCTCCTTCCAGCCCTCTGGTAGGCAGGACCCCAGAATACTCCATCACACACCCCAGATCTTCACCCCTGGTGTATACACCCCATGTAATCCCCTCCCCTCGAGTGTGGGGGAAACCTAGGAATACGTTGGGTATCGCTTCTGTGATCAGGTTATGTCATATAACAAAGACAAAAGGATTCTGCAGATATAATTAACAACCCTAATCAGTTGACTGTGAGTTCATCAAAAGGGACATTATCCCGGGTGGGCCTGACCTAATCAGGCAAGCTCTTCGGCAAGGGTTTAGAGATCAGAGACAGAGGAAGTCAGAGAGACACTGTCATGCTGGCCTTCAAGACAAAGCAAGCCATCATGCTGTGAGGGGGCCACATGGCCAGAGCCTGCCAGGGGCCTCAAGGAGCTGACCATGGTCCCAGCCAACAGCCAGCCAGGAAATGGGGTCCTTAGACACACAGCCACGAGGAGATTCTGCCACAATCTGTGAGCTAGGAAGAGGACCCGAGCCCCAGACGAGACCACAGACCTGGCCGACACCCTGACTGCAGCCTGGCGAGACCCTGAGCAGAGGCCCCAACTCCCCCGTAAGCAGACTGCTGACCCACAGCAGCCGCGAGGTTGTACACGTGAGCTGTTGGAAGCCCATGACACGCTGTTCTGCAGCACAGACACTCAGGACTCCAGGCTGGCTGGCAGCAGGGGCACACCCGGCAGCCCGTGCGGCTCAGGCCCATAAGAGCTCCCTACAGCAGCCCTGCAGGACGCAAGGTCCAGGCTGGGGATGGCAGGTGGCGAGGAGGCCCGGGCGAGCGGCTGGGGCTCACGGGCGTGGTGGGATGGGGGCGAAGTCCCCAGACCCAGGCCCATTGGTCCTAGGCTGGAAAGGGGTGTGAGGGAGTCCCATCCCTCACAGGCGGTGGCCACCAGGAGGGGGCCAAGCACCCAGGCAGAGGGCAGTGGCCCGGAATGGTGCCGGTGGGAGCAAGCGTGGGCAGCCATGGTGAGTGCTGGCCATGAAGCGGGGTGGGGGGTGGAGGGGCCAGTCTGGACTCCAGCACCGGAGGGGAAGGGCCAAGCATGGGTTTGTGGGGGGAAAGGGGAACCAGGAGGGTCTGGGAAATGTCCAGGGGATAAGGGGAACCCCGGGTCACCCCAGGAGGTTGGCTGAGGCCGGCCAGAGGCCTGCGGGGTGGCAGGCTGCCCTTGGAGATGCAGGGGAGGGAGGGGAGCAGGTTGAGGGGCTTCCATTCCCGACTCCCCAAGTCCCCCTCCCCCAGGAGGGGAGCCCTCACCCAGACTGACCTCGCCCAGCTGCTTCCTCCGCCCTCCAGCCCCTTATCTCCCGCGGACCCTTCCTGATGGCCTGTTTCCGCCGGCGGCCATGGCTTGTGCCTTTGATGGCCAGCCTGCAGGGTTTCCAGTCCTAGCTTCCGCCGGCTTGTGAAGGAGACGGGCGTGGCCTTTGGCCCAGACCAAGAAGAATATGCCCAGCAGGCCAGGCACTGCCTGTCCATCCTCACTCAATCACACCCTTAGCTGGGTGATCTCAGACGAGTGCCTGCACCATGTCACCTGTGACTGGGGGGTGAGTGGCCTGGCTCACCTCCAGGGCCAGGAGCAGGAAGCCATGGGACCTGCTATAGGGGCAGCACGAGCTCTGCTGTCTATCCAGCCCCCATCAGGCCCGCAGACACTGCTGCCACAGGGCCCTCCAGTCCTGCCTCCTCACAGCCACCCCTCGCTTCCAAAACACAAGTCTGAGCATGCTGTTCTCTGCCCAGAACCCTCCTTGGCTCCCCAGCACCCTCAGGATCAGGCCATAGCCCAGAGGCCCTGCTTGTGGAACTACTGCAGCTGGGGCTACATGTCCACTTGCCCCCAAGCCTTGGCCATGACGCCCACTGCCAGGACTCCGCCCAGGCTCACCTCCTCCAGGGAGACCCCAACCCTCCGGAACACATCCCACCCGCCTTCCTCCTTGCCAGCCCCACTGATCTGCCCACTGGCCCGACCCCTACCCCAAGTCAGGCTCCTTGGATTCTCCCCGCCCCCAGCACCAAATGCCAGGAGGCTCTGGGGCCAAGTGGCCACTGGCCGGCCACACGGAGGACACCTGCAGATAACACCAAGATGGTTGACCCTTTGGCATGGAAATGCCATGTTTAACATGAGGCTGCAGGCCCTGGCTCATCTTCTTCCTAGGGCTGGAGATCAACTCCAGCAGCCCACCCCCAGGCCAGGGGGACACCCTGACGAGGGCCCCACACTGAGTGGCCCCTGCCCTCTGGAGAAGGCTGCCAGGGGCCGGGGCTCAGCGTGTGGAGGGACACTGTGACACCCTCCTCCTGCGCTAGACTTCACCAGAGTCAGGGACGCATCACCGCGCCCCTGGGGCAGGGGACAGGCTTCACTCCAACATCCTGTCCTGGGAAGACAGCCCGGCTGTGGACCCTGTGGGGAGTGTGCAGCAGAGGGCACCCGGGCTTTGGTGGGGCAGTCCCTGAAGTCCGGCCTCCGGGCCACACCTCCCCCTCCCCAGGAGTGCTGGGGCCACTGCCCCCACCCCGGCCTGGGACTCAGCCTTCCCCTCATTCCTGAGCCACCATCTGACAGCAGATCTGTGACTCACCCCCACCCCTCGCGCCCTGTGCTTAATCCCACAGGAAGTAGAGGCATCTGTCGGCAGCAGCTGCCACCCGTGCGGCCCCACAGGGCTAGGGGCCGCAGGGTGGGGGCACGGGCCGAGCACGCTCCAGAACCAGCCCCACGAGCCCCGGGTTCCGGCCTGGATCTCGATCTGAGGTGTGTTCTGTCCAACCTTCCCCCAACCCCACACTGAAAGACAAGGAGGAATCGCCTGGCTTGCACGCCCCCAGGAACAGGGCGCTCACTGCCTCGCGGGCAGCCTGTCCCGTCCCCAGGCCGCGCTGATGGCAGGACGCCCTTCCCAAAGGTGCAGACCTGCGAGCCCAGCCCCACTCACTTGTACGTGGTGACCCGGCGCAGGTCGGAGGGGGCCAGCTGGTAGCCGCACTCTTCCCAAGCCTCCTTGCAGGCCACCTCCTCCAGCGAGAGCCCTGGCTGGTCCACGAGGCCGGCGCAGAGCTCGTACGTCACCCCCGCCGAGCCGGGCAGGGCCGCCTGCAGCTCCCGGGGCCTGTCCTGGTCCATGGCTGTCAGGGACCCTGGGAAGTGGCGCTCCACCTCGCCCACATACACAGCTGGTTGCGGGGAGGGAGGGCAGACCACGGTCACGGCCACATGGCAGCCACCTCCATGCGACCCACCTAGGCCACACCCCCTCATTGGGCCTCAGTTTCCCCTGGAGCCTTCTCCCCTCATCAGCATTCTGACTCTACACCACAGGGGCCTGAAAGTGACCCTGCAGATCTCCCCTCCCCCCACACCCCACTCCCACCGGCTGCACCTGGCCGGAACTGCTTCACCAACACCAGGCTCCTCCGAGAAGAGTTGAACAGGAGAATGGTCACACTGCGGGGGGGTGGACAGAGCTCAGCACAGGAGCAACCCCCTCCGCTCACCTCCATGGGGGCCCTGGCTACCGTCCTCCTGTTCCCAGCCCACCTCTTCTCCCCACAGCCCAGGAAATCGGGTCCCTTGCTCAGACAAGGAGACTGAGGCCAGAGCCCGCAGGGCCACACAGTCAGGCTAAGACCCGGACCCACTGTATTCCAGCTGGCAGGACGGGGGCAGCAGGGTGGAGACAGACATGTTGGGCAGCTGGGCAGGTCGGGGGTGGCGGCAGCTGAGGCTGGGTGACTGATGGGACATGTGGCCCCTGCTGGCCAGCTGCCTGGCAGCCACACTCCTGGAGCCATGTCGCTGCCCGGCCATTCCCCTGATGCTCAGGGGCCAGGGCACCCGGACGGTCTCTCTCAGGTCCAGGAAGGCCGGCCCTCCACCATGGTCCAGGCAGCCTGAGCCGGGGGCCAGCTCAGCCTCCAGGCCTCGGGCTGAGACCTCAGAAAGGAATGTGAAAGTGAGGACTGAGCGTGGAGCAGTTCAGAGAACAGGAGAGCGCAGAAAGGCAGAGGCAGGGGTGGGGCTCCAAGCCCTGGGCCCCAGCGTCCCCGCGGGCATTAGCTTGCGGCTTCCCCAGTGGCCGGGCCACGCTGGGCCCTCACCTGTCATGTGTCTTCATGAAGTCCCACGACTTCTGGGTGCCGTTCTGAAAGAGGCAAGGCAGTGCTCAAGGTGGGCCGAAGGGCTGCCAGTGTGGGTGGAGGTGCTCTGGGGAGCTGAGGAGGCCACGTAGACCTACTGCAGCAGATCCTGCCAGGGAGACCCGCTCACAGCCTGGGCCCAGAGCAGTTGGGAGCTGTGGCAGATCAGTGAGTGGGTAGCAGCCCGAACTGGGCAAGGAAGTCAAGGACAGCCTGACGCTCTCCAGGCAGAAAACCAGGGCAAAGGGAGGAAAGGCAGACCAGGCACAGCGTGAGCTGCCACCCAGCACCGGCTAAGCACAAGGAGCTGCAACGAGATGTACACTGTCACCAAGTGCGGGAAGGACCATGGGGGTATGGGGAAGGGGCAGGTATGACGCTTCCTCATAGTCAGGGCAGGGAGGGTCCCAAGCGGGCAGAGCTGAGATCAGGTTTGCACCGCTGACACGCCCTCGGGCCACTGGACAGAGGGAGATGGGAGGGCGGAAGGGGCAGGCTGGCCTCCTGAGAGCGCACCAGCAGCAGAGCAGCCGAGCAGCCGGGGCCGCATGGTGCCTGAGCTAGGCGGGAGAGCACCCTGCAGGACGTGCTGATTCAATGGTGGTGACTGGACAGTGGGACAACCCCCTCCCCAGCCCAGTTTCTGTCTTGGGCTGTCTCTCATGCATCCTGTGGTCCTGCTGTTCTGTCACTTTCCTCCACCAGCCTGCTCCCCCACCCTGGGCACTCTGCCCAGACGGGCTCGCAGGGCTCAGGCAGCATTCAGTGAGGGAAGGAGGTGGTGCGCGGTAGGGGCCTGGGCCGGGGTTTCAGCAGGCAGGAGGTAGGAGGGGCCCAGCATCCTGCCAGCTGGCCACCGCTAGGCCAGGCGGGCTCCTATCCTCAGGGTGAGGGCAGGCAGTGGCCATTCCACCAGCCCCGCCCCCTCCCCAAGGGGTTTCTGCAGATGGAGCTGGACCCGGGGCCCTGCCCTCTGGCTGCCCATCACCAGCATGCTTAGCTTACCTGCCTTCAACCATTGGGTCAGCCCTGAGGCCCTGGCAAGCTGCTGGCCCCACCCTTGGGACTCTGACCAGGTCATGAAACGGACATGGAGCTGAGCACCAGAGACAGAAAGCGCAGCTGGGGCTGCAGAGGGAGGACGCTAAGGGACAGCCTTTGTGAGGACTTCCTGGAGGAGGTGACACGGCACCAGGCCCCACAGAAGTGACGGAAGAGCATCTCAGGCAGGGGGACCTCACAGGCAGAGGCCCTCATGCTGATCCGAGAGGAGCTGGGAAAATTGGCCTGAGCTCTGCCCTAGGCAGAGGTATCCTGGAGGGGTGGCAGGGCCTGAGTTTCCAAGGGGAAGGGAGGGCGGAAGCCCTGTGGTGCGCAGGTCGGCCACCTGGGAGGCCGTTGTGAGGCACCACCCCGAGAGGCAAGCCCGGGCCTGCCCGCAATTCGGCCACCCAGGGGCGAGCCACCCACCAGGACGGGCTCCCAGGAAGGCCTGCCCCCCAGTCGGCCATGTGCCTGCCCTGCCCCCTGCCTCCCTCAGGGTGAGTGTCACCCGGGGCAGGTCTCTGGGACCCTCTCGGCTCAATATCAAAACGTCTGTCAGACCCTTGGGTCCAGCCAAGGTGAAGTGCAGGGGAAGGTCCAGATAGGCTCACCAAGGCCCAGCCGGCCCCTCCCACAGGACCCCCTGCCCAGTGAGTGGGACCAGGCCTGGCTCGTCCTCCAGGAGTCCTGGGAGGGAGGGACAGGACTGGAGTGTGAACACAGCCCCTCCCTGAGCCACAAGAGGTGCCCTGCCTCTCGTCGATGGGTCTGTCTGTCCATTAGATCTCCCCTGGCGGGGGTGGCCAATGACCAGAGGATGCAGATGCCCCTCGGTGGCATGCACTGCTCAGCCCCATGTCCCTCGGCCCCTGAGGGAATGCTGTTCCAGCCCCCAGACCCTGCTCACCACAGCCTGCAGCGCACACCGGCTCAGCACTGGTTACCAGCACCCGTCTGCGCTTCACAGGGGAGAGACTGCTGCAGCCTCGGGCCACAGGGGGGTGTGCCTGGACCACCCTGTGCCCACCTGCTGCCCCCCAGAGCCCTAGCTCCCAGTTGCTGTGCAGCCACAATCAGGGACCCCTGCCCCAGGCCAATGCCAGGCAGAAGGGCAGCGACCTCCCTGTCCCCACACTCTGCCCTCGACTGGCCCTGGCTTCTGGCTCAGGCCAGCACTGCCAACGTGGGTCCATCTCGAGGACACGAATTCCCTGTCCCCTGGAGCCAATAGGGCTATAGCCACAGGGAAAGCGGGGATGCGGGGGCTCCTCTCGGGCTGGGGGCCAAGAGGGCTTCACAGGGTTGGCAAGAGGAAGGGGCCTAGAGAGGACGGGAGGGACATAACGCTGCAGGCAGAGGGGCACCAAAGACCTGGACCACTTCTCCTCACTGAGGGGCAGGAGGGCAGTCTTCATCTGAACGGCATGGAGAAGCGCGCTGGGGGCAGGTGGAGTGGGTAGCCAAAAGAGGGGGGCCCACGCCAGACAGAACCAGTTCTGTAACCCAGCACATATTTCTTGTGAACCTACTACATGCCCGGTGCCAGAGGAGGAGGTAGGTGTGGTCCTGCTCCCCAGGAGATGGGCCAGAGGAGGTGACGCCCTCGGAGCTGGGCAGCTGGAGACTCCAAAGAGGTGCCCTCGGAGGAAGCCCACCTAGAGAGGCTCTCCAGTGCCCACCCAGCTCCCTCTCCTACCTCCTCCCTCCTGGCCTCCTCATTCAGTTCCCCTTCCTCCTCTGCCCAGATGGAGACCACCAGCTCCAGGAAACTTTCCCTGATCCCCGGGGCGCCCAATACGTCTCTCCGCAAAAAAGGCCGGGGCTCAGCAAAGCCTCCTTGGAGGAATGAGTGGTCTCCGGAAGTGTCTCTGCCGGGGCCCCTCCCCGACCCGAGCGCCCTCCGGGGTCTGCGAACCCTGACCGGTTCTGGTGCGCTGGGCGGGGAGGCAGGGCGCGAGGGGCGGGGCTCCTGGCGGGGGCGGGGCTCCGGGCTGTGGGCGGGGTCAGGTTCCTGGATTACGGGCGGGGGCTCCAGGTCTGTGGGCGGGGCCTGGACTCCAGGGCTATGGGCGGGGCTCGGATGATGTGGGCAGGACTCGGAGCGGGGGCGGGGCTCCGGGGCCGCCGGAGGGCCGCGGACGCGCGGGCGGGCTCACCTGGCGGTAGTGCAGCGTGAGCGGCCGCAGGTAGGGCGAGGATGCGCAGCGGCCCACGGCCGCCCCCTCGATGCGTTCCATGGCGGCGCGAGGGGCAGCC